AAGACATGCATACACGCAGAATGTCATTGCATGAATCCTCGTAGTGTCACCAGCCCGCAGGGTCCCTTGTGAGGAATGCGAGTCAACCCCAAAGGATTGTTTTGCCTGGCGGAGGGATTGACCTCCAGCAGCTGTTGAGAGCTACTACACCACCTAGGCGCTTCGTGCAAGGTTCAGGAGTGGGATTGACCAAAGGACCAGTACCTGGTGGGTATGTCCGCTGTACAATAAAAAGATGTAACGTAAAACGCGCATGAGCAATCATGGACGGAACAGCTAACGGCGCGTCTGCCAACTGAATGACTCCCTGACGCCACTTGCGTAACCCCTTGAGGGTGAGAGCACAAATGCGAGGACCAACATCCAGCAAGTGGGACGAGCGCACAAAGACGGCGCTCTAGAAGGGCTGAACGAGTAAAAGATACTCGCCTTAGTAAAGGGAGTAGTTTGGTTGTTTCTTGATTTGCCACTAGTGGTTCAGGCGGGGCCCATAACCTGTCACAGACAATATCGCGCAGTGGAGATACGACCAGTAGCGATCACCTAAAGACACAGAGTCTCAGTGAGTGTAAGACACAGGAGCTATACATTAGCTGTACCTAAAGACACAGAGTCTGTGGTACAAGTCATAAGTAAGGGTCATTAGATCGTAAAGGAGAATGCATACCTCAGCGAGTGTAAGACACAGGAGCTGAGGATATGGAGCGTATAGTACTAGGTTTATATACCAGTCTGGAGCAGATATCATGATGTCATAGTGGAGTAATGATATCATAGATGAGTAATGGATGATGCAATAATGAGGTCAGGTATAAGGTCATTGTGGAGCAAGCCAAAGTAATCTAAAGATACTACATATGATGTCATGTCTACATACTGTGATAGTCGCCAATACAAACCAGCTTCAACACAGTGATATTTTGGTAGACGTGTTCATTTTATTGTTATATGCAAACTCTGCCATTCCCAGCCACTCCGACCAGTCTGTCTCATAGTAATTGACGTAGATGCAGAGATAGTGTTCGATCTCTTGATTCATGCGTTCTGTTTGTCCATCTGTGATCGGGTGATATGCAGTCCCCAGATTCATTTCCACGCCCAACATCCAATTCGTTTCCTTCATGAAGCTCTTGATGTATTGTGAGTCCCTATCGGTGATGATCTTGCAAGGGATCCCGTGATAGCGGAAGACTTGGTCCCTGGTCAACTGTGCTACTTCTTTGCTGCTGATGTCAGTACTAATTGGTTCAACGTGAATCATTTTGGTGAAGGTGTCACACCACACATGAATTGTGTCATACCCATTACTGACCAGCAGGGGTCTGATTTGATCCATGGAGATGATTTCCCATGGCATGTTTGAGACTGCATGCGGGTGTAGAGTCCCCGTCCTTGCTCTCCTGGTCTTGGTCCGTTGGCATGCCTCGCACGTCTGGATGTATTTCAGAATTTGGTTTCCCATCCTTGGCCACCAGTAGTTCCTTTCCACCATCTCCTGCATTCGGTTGATCCCAGTGTGTCCAACCAAAGGTGTGTCATGGTGTAGCCCAATGATCTTGTCTCGCAGCTCCTTGTCCCTTGGTATGTAGAGCTTCCCATGATACGTGATGAGCCCCTCTTCCTTTTTCCATCCGGCGAGTGACTTCTCCAAGGCCGCTTTGACACTTCTATCAATTGATCGAGTGGCCTTGATCTCATCAACTAGCTGCTGATCTTGCCCCTCAAATGTGACTTCTTGCGATCGGAAGAACTCGGGCTTCAGCAGGGTGACGTCCTTGTTGTCATTCTTGCCCTGATCGTGATCCGCTCATCGAGATAAGAGATCCGCCTTGCGGTTGAGTGCGCCGGGCCGGTGTCGTAAGGTGAAATCAAACTCTGCCAACTCCGTGATCCATTGTGCTTGCTGTCGATTGAGCTTCTGCGGCTTCCGGAAGTACTCAAGATTTTGATGATCTGTGAAGATCTCAAACGTTTCCGTGGCTCCCAGTAGTAACTGCCTCCATTCGTCCAATGATAGCATGATTGCAAGCATTTCTTTGTCGTAGATCTCGTAATTTCACTCGGTTTCCGTTAATGCGTGCGAAATAAACGCGATTGGGCGTCAAATGCCATCTTGGTTTTGGCTCAAAACAGATCCTGTTGCCCCTTCCAAAGCATCAGCTTCCAGATGATATTGGCCAGTGTTGTTTGGCAGTGCTAGGACCGCATCCTCCGCAATTCTCTTCTTCAATCCATCAAATGCCGCATGCTCATCCATACCCCATGACCATCCTGCCTTCCCTGTCAGCCGCGTCAATAGCTTGGCGACCTCCACATATCCCCGGACAAAGCGCCGATAGAAGTTGGTGAACCCCAGGAATGCTTGGACTTGCTTGATGCTCTTTGGTTCAGGCCATTCCATCACGCCCTTGATCTTGACTGGGTCCATCCGCATCAAGTTGTGCCCAATAATTACACCCAGATATTTGATTTCCATGCGTTCGAACTCGCACTTTTTAGGTTTCAGGTCCAACTTGTGTTTTTAGAGCAGTTCAAGTACTCGTTTTGTGATCCGCTGATGTTCGTCCAAGTTTTCTGTGAAGATCAATATATCGTCAAGATAAACTACCACGTGACCCTCGTTGATCAGTTCTCGGAGTATGTTGTTCATCATGTTTTAAAAGGTTGCTGGGGAATTTGTGAGACCAAAGAACATAACCAAGGGCTCATACAGCCCATGGTTTGTGCAGAATGCAGCCTTCCACTCGTCACCCTCTTTGATCCGTACGTTGTTATATCCCCACCGGATGTCGAGCTTTGTGAAGAACTTTGCGCCATATAGATTATGGACCAGTTCGGAGATCAGCGGCAGCGGGTATCGATTTTGGATTGTCATCTTGTTCAACTTCCAATAGTCTTGGACGGAACGTAGCAAGCCATCCTTCTTCTTGACAAAGAAGAACGCTGATGCCATGGGTGATTTTGATGGCCTGATCTATCCACTGGCCAGGTTTTCTTGTAGGAATTTGTCCAGTTTGACCTGCTTGTTTCGCGATAATGGATACACCTTGCAGTCCACTGCTTTGGAGCCGGGTTTGAGCTCAATTGAATGATCCCATGCTCGTTGGTCCGGCAGCGAGTCAAACGATTCCTTGGTGAATACTTTGACAAATTCCCGGTATTGATTCAGAATCTTCCCCTCGGTCATTCTCTCCTTCTCCTTTTCCGCTTCTTCTGCGAATTTCTGTGCCGGTGTTTCCTTCAGCTGTAGATCCACTTCCTTCCCAAAGTCGACCAACAGGATCGATTCTCCCTCTTCCAGATCTGGTGCGCCCATGTCCAAGTCAATTGCATCCATGTTGTGTTGAAGCTGGTTTGTATTGGCGACTATCACAGTATGTAGACATGACATCATATGTAGTATCTTTAGATTACTTTGGCTTGCTCCACAATGACCTTATACCTGACCTCATTATTGCATCATCCATTACTCATCTATGATATCATTACTCCACTATGACATCATGATATCTGCTCCAGACTGGTATATAAACCTAGTACTATACGCTCCATATCCTCAGCTCCTGTGTCTTACACTCGCTGAGGTATGCATTCTCCTTTACGATCTAATGACCCTTACTTATGACTTGTACCACAGACTCTGTGTCTTTAGGTACAGCTAATGTATAGCTCCTGTGTCTTACACTCACTGAGACTCTGTGTCTTTAGGTGATCGCTACTGGTCGTATCTCCACTGCGCGATATTGTCTGTGACAGGTTATGGGCCCCGCCTGAACCACTAGTGGCAAATCAAGAAACAACCAAACTACTCCCTTTACTAAGGCGAGTATCTTTTACTCGTTCAGCCCTTCTAGAGCGCCGTCTTTGTGCGCTCGTCCCACTTGCTGGATGTTGGTCCTCGCATTTGTGCTCTCACCCTCAAGGGGTTACGCAAGTGGCGTCAGGGAGTCATTCAGTTGGCAGACGCGCCGTTAGCTGTTCCGTCCATGATTGCTCATGCGCGTTTTACGTTACATCTTTTTATTGTACAGCGGACATACCCACCAGGTACTGGTCCTTTGGTCAATCCCACTCCTGAACCTTGCACGAAGCGCCTAGGTGGTGTAGTAGCTCTCAACAGCTGCTGGAGGTCAATCCCTCCGCCAGGCAAAACAATCCTTTGGGGTTGACTCGCATTCCTCACAAGGGACCCTGCGGGCTGGTGACACTACGAGGATTCATGCAATGACATTCTGCGTGTATGCATGTCTTTAAAAGGGAGAAGATGGGCAGCCAAACCCGGTGCTTGGGACGGCCTTGGGCACGTGTCCCTTGGCCAGTGACGGACTGCGAGGGCAGTAATCACCGTTGGGTACTGCCGCTGCTGACGTATATAGTTACGTTACTTTGATACAAATATGGGCACTTACTATACCGCTTTATTTCGTTATCATTCCCCGCGCATATATGGGCATCATGGATGGGATAGGGACGCTTGGTTGCTCTCGTTTCAGAGATTTGGCACTTGGGATTTTGTTTCTTGGTCTGCAGAGAATCTGGGGCTGACTTTGTTGCTCTAGTCTATATCTCTATCACCCTGTCATCACCAAACGATCCTCCTGTTGGGGTTATTCAATACCCTGTTAACACTTGGGAATTCTTTGGACCTCCATACCTTCCTCTCTCATCTGTCGCTGACGACGACATCTTTCGAATCGGGGATCTAGAAAATCCAGACAGTTATCAAGAACAGGGCAACTTCACTACTGCTCTGCACGTTCTGTTTGGCGAGAACCTTGTCAAAGACCCCTCCCTCTACTACCAAATTGAAGACGTCATTGAATTTCTTCCCATCATATCTGGGATCGAAAAGTTGAACAACAACATCTTGAACATGTTCGATGGCACCAATTGGAACACATGGTTGGACAACTACATGAGCATCTGTATGTATCAGGGAACTTGGGGACTGGTTAAACCCACTCACATTACGGTTTCTAGAACAAGTGCTCCGAATCCTGGGGCTCTAGGACAACCCACCACTGCCAATGAAAGTCAGCAGCGTTGGGACATTGCCAATGAAAAGGCACTGGGTCTTGCGCGGGTTTATATCACCCAGAATCTGCGCAAGGGAATCTTTATGGACGGTCAACGGGAGCGCACTGCGCGCGAGGTTTTTGTGAAAATGGCGACGGATTATGGCCAACCAAATGCCATCGATGCTTTTGTCGAGTACCGCCTCCTGGACACCACCACCTTCCACGGTGGTGACATCATTGAAAAACAAATCATGGAAATGGAGACTTGTCGTCGCCAGTGTTCAGAAGGAGGAATTGAGATTCCCGACTACCTCTTTGCAACTCTCATGCTTGCTGCCTTGCCCGCTTCCAGCAGAGGTTTTGTTACCTCTTACCTGGCCAATCATCCTATCGCTTCTCTGAACCCAGTCGATGTCAAGAACAGCATCATAGGGAATATCAAGATCGAGAACCTCGACACGACGTCGAACTCGAAGATTTCCACCGTTCTGTCCCTCGCCACCCGCTGCACTCATTGCAACAAGTCCGGTCACGTTGCGGCATCTTGCTATAAGAAGTATCCCAACCTCAAGCCGACTGGTCAATCTTCTGACAAAGGCAAGGGGAAGCAGGATGAGGGGAAGAAGGAAAAGAAGAGTGGTGATGGTACCAGCACTGTAAACAAAGAAGTTGTAGCCGCTCCCGTGGTTGCAGCTGCCTCCAATGGAATGCACATTTTGTCCTATCTCATGAGTGACTCCCTCAAACACATCGATGATGGAATTTTTGTTGAAGAAATGGGAGACGATTCAAAAATTCGTTTTCTATGGGATTCAGGTTGTACGCATCACATGACAAACACCCGATCCGATCTTCACAATATCAGATCTATTGACACCTATGTAGTCGTTGGGTCGGGAGCTCGCTGCAAGAATGAAGCCATTGGAGATATTGTGTTGCGGGGTCATACTAGTAGTGGCATGGACTACACCTTCACGCTGAAGGATGTCATCTACAACCCGCACATAAGAGGGCGTTACCTTTCTGGGTATGCGCTCGATCAGGCTGGTTACTACACCGTGGTTGGTGACAACAAGGCAATCCTAGTCACCAAGGATTGGCTCAACAAGGGAAAAGCGCATGGGGATGTCTTGATGACCTTTAAAGCAAGCAATCGCTGCTACTGGTACTACCCCGAGGAGCTCGTGGCACCATCTGTGTCTGCATCTCACGAGTCTACCGCGCTCGCTTCCCTGGAAACTACCGATCGTGAATTGTGGCATAAGCGTTTTGGTCATGTGGCTCGGAGGACCCTTACTCACTTGCCGACACAAGTTGAAGGTGTTCCCCCCTTGCAACGCAATAAAGACCAGTGTGGCATGTGCAATGGATGTATGCTTGGAAAACAACACAAGCATCTGTACCCTGCATCAGAGAAACGTGCTAGCAAACCCCTCGAGCTTATCCACACTGATTTGATGGGCCCCTGGCCTACTCAGTCGTTGGAAGGTTCACGCTACACAATTTTGTTCTATGACGATTTCTCAAGCTTTGGCATGATGGTGTTTATTAAATCAAAGGACCAAGCCTCTACCGCAATTAAAAACTGTGTTGCCCTTACAGAGCATCAGCTCGGCACAAAAGTACTGGCCTTCCGGTCAGATCGTGGAGGCGAATATATGTCCGATGAACTCACAGCCTGGCTCAATGCACGTGGTATTATGCACCCTAAGTCCGCGCCACGCGAACCACAGCAAAATGGGAGGTCTGAACGTTGGAATCGCACAGCCTACGAGAAAGCGGAATGCATGCGCCTTGATGCTGGCCTATCCAAAGGCTTCTGGCAATGTGCTATGGATGCATCTGTCCACGTTCATAATAGACAACCTATGGCACGATTGGGATGGCGAACACCTGCGGAACTGTGGCTTGGAAAGAAGCCAGACGTCTCTTATTTCCGTGTGTTTGGATGCAAGGCATCTCTCTATGTGGATGTTGAAAAACGCCCAAAAGGGTTGGAGCATGGACGCCCCGACCACATCTTTGTTGGATACAAACAAGAGACAAAAGCTTGGAAAGTGTGGGATCCAAATCAATGCAAGATACAAATCTCTTCAAACGTCGAGTTTGATGAGCAAGTATTCCCTGCCAAGTCCAAGCTAGTCACCGGCAATGTGTCCTCTGGACTGGAGCTGTTCACACCATTCGAGGAAACCTTCCCTGACCTTATCAATAATCCTGCATCTGCAATGCCTTATGCAAGTATAACACCTCCTGCTCTCCCACCGCCACCGGCACCCCTTGCGCAACAAGGTCCTGTCACAGGATTGTGAGAAGTACCCCTAATGCCTGGCCCGATAGACGATCGCCCAATTGCCCATCGCCGCCCTCGTCGGAATAAGCCCCGCATTATGCCAGATGGAACTACGTATCAGAGGCCTAGCAGCATTGAGTCCATGTTATCAGCTGCCCAAGCTGAGCATGACTTGCCTCAAAACGTATGGGACGTAGCAAAGAGCCCGGATGCACTCAAGTGGGAGCGCGCAATGCGCGAAGAACTGGACTCTCTCGAGGAAAACTGTACTTGGGACTTGACCAGCCTTCCACGCGGTCGAAAGACTGTAAAATGCAGATGGGTGTTTAGCAGGAAGCGTGACGGTTGTTTCAAAGTACGACTCGTTGCCAAGGGATTTACTCAGGTTCATGGGTTTGACTATGATGAGACCTTCTTGCCAGTATTGTGCTACAAATCTTTGTGCATACTTATGGCTCTGGCTGCTCTCGAAGATTGGGAGATTCATGCCATGGATGTCAAAACGGCATTCCTAAACAGGGATCTAGAGGAAGAAATCTATATGGAACTTCCGGAATTACCCAAAGGTTTCTCGTCATGGCCAAAAGAAAAGGTGGCACGCCTTTGTAAATCACTCTATGGGTTGAAACAGGCGTCTCATCAGTGGAATATCAAAATCCACAATGCTCTCCTCGAACTTGGTTTTGCTCAGACATACTCCGACGCCGGTGTCTACACATATCGCCAACAAATGGGAGATACAGTCATCATCTTGGTGCTGTATGTTGACAATATGCTCATTATGGGCAACAATCTGCCGGAGATAGCGCGTATCAAATCCTTGCTCGCGAACCGCTTCAAAATGACAGATCTTGGTCCTGCAAAGGATTTCCTTGGTCTGAACATAGTTCGTGATCGCAAAGCGCGTAAAAACTGGATCAATCAGACTTCTTATATCGAAGGAGTTCTAGAACATTTCCGGATGTCTTCGTGTAAAGAAGCTCGTACTCCCCTGCCTTCCGGCATCGTGCTCGAGAAGCATGATGGAGAAGTTGATGAAGACCGTCGTACCCGTTACCAGCAGCTGATTGGCAGTCTTTTATACGCCATGCTTGGTACACGCCCCGACATTGCCTACGCAGTCATCCATCTTTCAAAGTTCAACAGCAACCCATCAGAACATCATTGGAACATGGCAAAATACATACTCCGGTACCTTCAGGGCACCAAACACTACCAACTTTGCTATGATGGTTCCACTGGCACAGGCCTTATCGGTTATTCCAATGCTGATTGGGCGGAGAACAAAGACAACAGGCATTCCACCATTGTGACAATCAACCCAAAAACAAAGTTGAAAAGAGAAGTGAATTCAAAGACTGGAGAATACAACCAAGTAGCTACAGTATTTATACCCAAATCCAGTCTGAGTCATATCTACAACTAATGAGTCATAGGGCTATGTACCGCATGGAACGCTGGTCATGGGTCGTAGTAGAACCTTCTGGAGCATATGTCGCGCAGCCTCGAATCGATGAAGATAATCCCTGGAACCCCTAGTCCGGACCGTCTGAGCCATGATCCGTGATAAGATAAGTCGTGCCAAGATAAGATAAGATCGTCGATGATAAGATGAAAAAGTGGCCAAACTATGACATTACCCCCTCTCTAGGGTCGATGTCCTCATCGACTAGGCCAATGGGTAAGAAGACGTTCTCGTAAGGGTCGAAGAGCTGTCGTTGGGGATATGGAAGGCGCTCGTCCCTGGGCTTGTAGCGATGAATGAGATAGTCCCAGTGTCCAGCTTCGAGCGTTGGCAGGAGGCGAATGCGTGTGTCTGGATTTGATTGTTTCCTCTGCCAGTCTCTCAGGACGTCCTTTGCGTGGGTAAGGTGACGTGATGGTTCCCAGGTGTTCTCGCTGTGCGGCCATCCCTTCCATTTGACCAAGTACTGTTTTCCTCGGCCGACTTTTCGCTCTTTCACGATTTCTTCGACTTCCCACTCCTCTGCTCCTCCGATCATCTTGGCCACGGGTCTCTTCTCTCGGCGGTGGGGGGGTGGTTCGTGATAGGGTGTCAACAGTGACTCGTTGAACACCGGGTGTCTTCGGTCCGTGTCCGGCAAATTCAGCTTCCATGCAGCCGCTCCAACCTTCTCCAGTATCTCGTATGGCCCCAATCTCTTGTCGCTCATCTTCTTCGAAGGCCTGTCCGTCTCGATATTGTCCCCCTCTATGTACACCTTCATCCCCACCTTCAACTCCGGAACTTCTTTTCTTTGTTTATCGTAGTATTTTTTCATTTTTTCTTTTGCTTTTTCCAATGCTGCTTTTGCTTCGTCTTGTATTTCTTTGATTCTTTTTACAAATTCCTCCGCCGACTCGTTCCTTGATTCCATCCGCTGCTCCACTCCCTTCCATGGGTGATATCCGTGATTAGCATAGAACGGCGACATTTTGGTAGACGTGTTCATTTTGTCGTTGTATGCGAACTCCGCCATTCCCAGCCACTCCGACCAGTCCGTCTGATGGTAGTTGACGTAAATGCGGAGATAGTGTTCGATCTCCTGATTCATACGCTCCGTCTGCCCATCCGTGATGGGGTGATATGCGGTCCCCGGATTCATTTCCACGCCCAACATCCGATTTGTTTCCTTCATAAAGCCCTTGATGTATCGAGAGTCCCTGTCGGTGATGATTTTGCGGGGGACCCCGTGATAGCGGAAGATTCGGTCCCTGGTTAACCGTGCTACTCCTTCGCTGCTGATGTCAGTACTAATTGGTTCGACATGGATCATTTTGGTGAAGGTGTCACACCACACATGAATTGCGTCATACCCGTTACTGACCGGCAGGGGTCCGATCTGATCCATGGAGATGATTTCCCACGGCGCGTTTGGAACTGCATGCGGGTGCAAACTCCCTGTCCTGGCTCTTCTGGTCTTGGTCCGCTGGCACGCCTCGCACGTCTGGATGTATTTCCGAATTTGGTTTCCCATCCTTGGCCACCAGTAGTTCCTTTCCACCATCTCCTGCGTTCGGTTGATCCCAGCGTGTCCGACCAAAGGTGTGTCGTGGTGTAGTCCGATGATCTTGTCTCGTAGCTCCTCATTCCTCGGCACGTAGAGCTTCCCATGGTACGTGATGAGCCCATCTTCCTTTTTCCATCCGACGAGTGACTTCTCCAAGGCCGCTTTGACGCTTCCATCAATTGATCGAGTAGCCTTGATCTCATCAATTAGCTGCTGATCTTGCCCCTCGAATGTGACTTCTTGTGACCGG